TTTGTGCCTTTCCTGGAACTCGCTTTGTAGACCAGGCTGGCCTCGCACTCCTAGAGATCCAACTGGCTCTGCCTCCCTAGTGCTGGGATTAAAGGCGTGGGCCACCACCACCCGGCTAAACTGCATCTTTTTTTTTTTCTGATTATAGGGATGATTTTTATCAGCACACTTGTGGAAAACCATATAAAGCTTTATGTTCAAATATATTTGGTATATCATAAATTGATAAATCTGCTTTTTTAATTTAATTTTATTTTATTTTACAATACCATTCAGTTCTACATAACAGCCACAGATTCCGTTGTTCTCCCCCTTCCTGCCCCCCTCTCCTTCCCCCTAAACTGCATCTTTTATAAAGCTTTAGGATATCCTTGGTGGGATGGAGACTCCTGGGTGCTGTAAGTCAAAGAGGCTGGAGCTACATGCATGCTTCTTACATTCAGAATGTTTTAATTGCAGATTTCTTTGTCTCTGTCTAAAGAAAAAAACTAAAATGTCCCTTTGTTTTCTACACTTTTCCTGTTTCTTGACAAAGTATCTTGACAAATGTAAACTGAGAGAGAAATAGTTTATTTCAGCTTATAGTTCCAGTTGCAGAGGATACAGTACATTATAGTGTGAGAGAATTGTGCCAGCAGGAGTTGAGAGTCCTGGTAATGGACTATCCACAATCAAGTGTCAGACAGTGAATAATGTCAGTGCTTAGCTCTCATTCTCAATTTTCTTGAGTCCATGACCCTTTCCATGAATACTGCCTCCATATTTAAGATCGTTATTCCTTCTTAAATTAACTTAATAAAAAACAAAACAAAACAAGCAAAAAATAAAAGCTCACAGAAAAGCAAGGATGGTTTTTCTTTTTCTACTTGACTCTAGACTAAGTCAAGTTAGCCATCAATATAATGCATCAACCTACTCTGATCAGGATATCAACAGACTGTCTTTTATAAACATACTAGTATCCCAGAAAATTTCAACTTTCTCATTCTAAAGTTTATTCATAGCATTTTGAAGTTTGGCCAGCACCAAGAAAGTGAACCCTGAAACTATTGGAAGGCAGACTAATCCCAGGCTTTCTCAGATGCCCTGATGAATAGAGAAAGAAAATGGTAGTTCTGTGTCCTTGACCAAGGGCAGAATTGGCAAAATCTGCTCTGGGTGTAGGGGTTTGAAGGACAGGATTTAGTAACTGGGAACATGGCTTTCTCTGCTCTATAGCTGTGGTTATAAGTCTTAGATAGCTCTGTCTGAGGTATTCTGTGTTCTCTTTGCTAGCATTATTTGAATTAGCTTAGTGATAACCTGGGCCCATTTTCTACTTATAAACAGCGAATAAACTTCTTACGTTACTTCTTAATAAGCTTACTTAGCGTAAGAAGTAGATTCATGGGCTCCTGACCACAACTTTTCTATCTTTTTTATCTTCTTACTTGCTGCCCACTTCCGTCTTGAGATCCTGTTACTGGAGAATGATCTGCTGGTCCAGGTATAAAATGTATATTCAGCCTATATGTGTTTGTTAAACAATCTGAAAGAAAAAACCCACAACATATCTAATTCTAACCCTGATTCATATGGCTCATGTCATATGCAACCTTGAAGGTCAAACCTTGCATATCTTCTTCCATATCCTCTGTCCAGCATCTTTTACATCTTTGTTCCTCAAGCTGTAGATCAAGGGATTCAACATGGGGATGATCAGGGTATAAAAGATGGATGCCAACTTGTCAGTGTCAAAGGAGTGACTATAATTAGGCTGCAAATACATAGATATCAAAGTACCATAGAAGATAATGACCACTGTCAGGTGTGATCCACATGTTGCAATAGCCTTGTGTCTGCCCTCAGCAGAGTTCATTCTGAGAATGGCTATGAGGATTAGCAGGTAAGACACAAGAACAACCAGAAGAGAAGAAATCAAATCAAAAACAGCAAAGATTAGAATTATCAGCTCAATGTCATGAGTGTTTGAACAGAGTAAAGGTATCAAAGCGATACAGTCACAGAAAAAATGATTGATTACATTGTAGTCACAGAATGATAAAGTGAACATTTTTAAAGTTATTAGAAGTGACAGAAATAAACCATACAGATATGGGATTATCACTAGTATCCAACAAACCCTCTGTGACATGATGGCAGTATAGAGTAATGGATTACAAATGGCCACATAGCGGTCATAGGACATGACAGAAAGAATGAAAAGTTCACAAGTAATGAACAGAAGAAAGCAAGCAAGCTGTGTAGCACAAAGATAATAGGATATTGTATTTTGGTTCACAACAAAATTTTCTAACATTTTAGGTCCCACAGCTGTAGAATAACCAAGATCTGTGATAGCCAAGTTTTTGAGAAAGAAGTACATGGGAGTTTGCAGCCGGGAATCCACCATGGTGAGGATGATCATGCCCAAGTTGCCCATCAGTGAGATCAGATAGATGATGAGGAACATTCCAAACAATGGAGCCTGAAGCTCAGAGCGGTGAGTGATGCCCAGCAGGATGAATTCATTCATGACTGTGAGGTTCTGTTTCTCCATGCAGTCATATTACTGAATCTATTCAGGATAGTAACAATTGCATACTCAATATATTTTTAATGTCATCATAAGGTGATAATTTATTATGCAACATTGTTATACATGAGATATCTTGAAATTTTCTGATAGTTATTTCAAAATAAAGACATTTTATATAATAAAGATATAAACTTGTACATGGAAATAGTAGACTATGATTCTTATAGAAGGTGATTTCACCAACACAAAGCATAATTCAGACATAATTTATCTCAGCTTGGAAATGAACTGCTATAAACAATAATTTATTAAGACACTTAAGCTTGTATATGACCTGCTCTATTAAACTTCCAGCTCCAAACGATGATTATATCAATAATTTTTCCCTTACCTAGTAAATACTGTGATATAGAAACATAATAGATGTAAATTACTGATAGCCATATGATAGAAAAACAAAAGAGAGATCTAAAGATCTAGATGTACTCCTATCTTCTGTAAGGATAATAAATGCTCTTAACTGCTGAATCATCTCTACAGCCTTATAAGTCATCACTTTAAGAAGATGTTTGGGATGAGATGCAGCTCAGTAACATTCACCAATATCTGGGTTGGTGTCATAGCATTTCCTAAAATGTATAGTACATTTCTGTAATTCTACTATTCTGGAAGTAGCAGCAGGGAGAATCCCAAGCTCAATGGCATCTTCAGCTATCAAACAAATCTTAGGCCAGTCTGAGATATAGGAGACCTTGGGTCAAAACTAAGGAAAATAGAACAAAATAAATAAAGTTATCTAAAATCATTATATCTATTGGTGGTGCAGCTTAAAATGTCAATATTTTTGATAAGTATTGTGATATGTATGGACAAAACAATTACAACTGATGACTCAGGAAATTGTCTATCCCTAAATAAATCAACATCTGAGCATGTTGTACAACATGTATGATATCTAATATGTTACTTAATGTATGCAAAGGATGTATTTGACAAATAGTAATCTAAAACACTGTACTCCAATTTAAAACAATGATATCTTTAGTAGTATTGTTTGGAAAGATGAAAGATTCTTGAATCATTTGTTGTTTCCCAGGTATGTAAAAGAGTTCCTAAGGGGAGAAAGAGAGAGAGTGAGAGCTGCTGTGAACAGCACTTAGGGTTTTGCCCATGATGTCAAGAGTTCTACTACTGCATTGCAGCACTAAACCTTGGAAAATTTTTGTATTGAATCTTCCTGTACAGGTCAAAATGATCCAGAACTAATAGATTTTCTTTCCTCCATTTGTAGACTTTTAAATTTTTTATTGTTTAATCATCACAGTACTTAAATAAGTTTGTTTTGCCAGAATATGTACAGATGAATTTCTAAATGGTCTTATTAAATAAAAAAAATGGAGCCAAATATGGGGATGAAAGCCTTAGAGATTAGGAAAATAGGAATAGCCACCAGCTAACCTTACCTCACCAGCTCTGCAGTTTCCAAATGTGAGCTACTTCCTGTCTTACCCATACTTATATTGCCTTGCTGTTCTGCCCTCTCATCGGCTATCTTAGTTACCTCAATTCCTTGTCACTGCCTATCTGTAGAGACCTCCAGGTCTCTATGGTTGGTACTTGGAATAAAGGTGTGTGTCACTATGCTTAGCTCTATTCCCTAGTATGGCCTTGAACACACAGAGACCCTGTCTTCTAAGTGATCGGATTAAGGGTGTGGTCTACCATTGCCTGACTTCTATGTTTATTTAAAATGGCTTGCTATTTCCTCTGATCTACAAGGAAACTTTATCAAAGCACAAATAAAATATCACCACATTTCAGCACAAATGAAATATCACCGTAAATATATGTTCTTTGAAAGTAATACAGTGATAGTTAAATGAAGAATGGATTCAATAGGTCATATCACATGCAAATTCTTTCCATCTCTAGCTCATTCTACTGACATGCCTTGACTAAAACTAAACAAGACAATTTATTGTCTAAATGAATCACATAATTTTAAGCATACACACATATATAAGTATATATATATATATATATATATATATATATATATTATACACACACACATACACACACACACACAGTTCATATAGATACAAAGCTTGTCATGTGCAAATTACACTTACTTCAGGTCAATGTTGCATGATTATAGAGATTACCCAGATGCTGTCCCAGTGAGACATACTTCTAGTAGTGAATGTAAAATGCATGAGGTTAATACATTAGATTATATACTTAGTAACTGCAATCACAAATAGTTGTTTTCTCATATTTTTCAGTTCAATATGTCAAAGCACATTGCTTTGTCATCCTGAAGTACCATTAATCAAGATTTGTTATGTTTAATACTTGCTATAGACTATTTCCCTCAGATTTCACTATGAAATAGCAATTTTAATATAACCAAAAAATGTGGTCATTAATGTCATTTCACACAACACACACACACACACACACACACACACACACACACACACACACAAATGCAGTGAATCAATAAGATGTAAAAACTCACGTTTGCCTTAATAAAAGATTAAGAAAAAAGAATCTCACTCACATTATAGCATACTAAGTTAGAGCATCACAAAAGAGGTTAGATACTCCAAACACCTAAATATTTGGGAGCATATGAAATGATTCATTTATATTTTCATTTCTGAATTAAAAATTGTGGACTTCCTTTACTTATGTTTCATTTCTCTTCTTATTTTAGAATGTCTTAACTATACAACCTAATGTCCATAAAATATATTTTCTAAGCAAATTTTCTAATTGATTTAGTGTTGTAAATATACATATGAACATATAATCTTTAACCTAGGTAGAAAATATTCCAGGGGAAATATGAGGGAAGGAGAGAGTCTATTGCTTTTGTCATTCAGACATGATGGTAGAGGAGTCATAGAAAATAGACCAGAAATGGTCTCTTCTATTAGATGACAAAACCAGAGAGGAGTGTGCCGGTTCCTGTGGATTCTGATGGCAGGGAACAACTTGCATAGCCTTCCTCGTTCCTTACCTGTAATGAAACATTGCCTTTCATTCTCGTGTGTGTTTCTTAGTATTTTATTTCCTACAATGATTTATGAGTTATGTTTTAATTTAAGAAATTGTCCCTGTGGAGTTGTAAGTTATTTGTTCACTCTCCCTAAAGCACTGGGATGCATACTGATTTGCTTTGAGGCTGTTCACTAATTATCAGGGAGAGTATGCATATATCTTTAAATTATGTATTAAGTATAGCGATTAGTGATATTACTTCTGGGTTAGAAATTAAAATATTACTGTTATCCTGTCAAAGACATATTAGACCACTCCGATCTTCCCTGTAGCAGGATTCTAAATAGCTGAAATTGGAAACAAAAAAATTTTGGCATATGACTGGACACATAGCATGCATTATGTGCAGTGTATGTAATGGCACCATGAAACTGAAAAGCATGATGCTAAGTTACATGAACCAGCCACAGGACAAATACTACACAAGTACAAATATGTTTGAAATAGTTAGACTTATACCATCAGTTATTGGAATGGCCTTTGCAAAAAGTGGGGGTAAGAAAATAAGAAGTGGCTAATAAAAAGACAATACCTCACTCAGGTAAAAGAAAAATAATGACAAAGTTCTGCTGAAAATCTGTGTACTTGCACTTCATGTTTTTAATAGTGAATATGAAGTGATAATATTAAATATAATAAAATAAATTTACTAAAATAGTAATCGTATATTATTCCAGGAGGGAGGGAAGATAATGTTCAAGAGAGAAATAAAGGTAGATCTGTCCTTTGGGTATATGGTCTAGTACAATTCTAAAGTAGAGTTTTAGGGTCCCAGAAAGAAAAAGGACCTAACTTTAACACTTAACTAAAACTCTAACTAGCGTTTGTGAGTTAGGGGCAGTTCCCACACCTGCCTTCCTTAATAAGTGACCAGTGCTACATGACAAGTTAGGGAAGTAGTACTGTAGGCTGTGAAACAGGAATCACATATACTCTGGATAGGGAATGGACACTTGGTAATGTCTTAGTGCAGTCAAACTCCATGGGTGTCTGTTGATTCAGGGCTGGGTGCTGTTCTCACTCAGACTCAGGGCTGGGTACTGTTCCTGTCTTGTTTGCAGTACCCTCTGCTTAGCATTTGAAGGGGAAAGGGTATTCTAAGATTTCCATCCTAAATCCAGTGTATGAAGCTTATTGTGCCCAAGGAATATATTCATTACTCTCTCTTTGTTTATTTTGATTTTTAAAACCAGGAATATGGATTTGTAAAACAAACAAATAAACAAGAATGGCTATCTGTGTACATATATTTTCAGAGAAAAACATTTTTTTCAGTGACCCTTAGTTGGGAGCCATTTTTTTTAAATTAAGGATTAATGGAGAAATCACAGATGATCTTATAAACGTTTAACAGATTATTTTTGGAAATAAATGATGAATAAGAGAATGATTACATTGAAAATGAAATGGGGAAGTAGCCTATGAAATCAGCAGTTACTAAGCTCAATCTGGCTTCTTTTTGCCTAATCAGGGAATTACTGGTTGGGACCTTCTGCCTCAACACAATCTCCACGTAAGTAGTCAAGCAGTGTCCTCAGGGGCTGCTATCTGTCTTTATACAGCTGAAGAAGATTATTTCCCCGAGTCTGGATAAATCATTATCAACAGAGAGTTTAGAGAGTGTCAATTAATATAGATTTGAAGTAGTTTTAGGAGGCTGACAGCAGGCTTGAACTAGAGGGCCAGGATGAACTTTTAAATCATTTGTCTAATTATTCTGATAGTCAATTTCTGATATATATATATATATATATATATATATATATATATATATTTTAAAATTATAATTATATATTTTCTGTCCTTCCATCTCCTCCCTCTCATGTACCCTACCTTGTTCTCTCATTAAAGTCAGGACCTGTTTTCTTTCAATTTATATAAAGAAATATAAAGAATTCAGTCAGCTCAGTTCATAAATTATTATTTGTATACATATGATTTCAGGACCAGCCATTTGGTATTATATACCCAGCTGAGGGTCTATTCCTTGGGGAAGACTATTCTATTTTTTCCCATTTCACTATTTCTTAGTTTATTTTGTTTTGTTTTCTTTGGTTGAGCCCTTTTTCTTTCTTTCTTTCTTTCTTTCTTTCTTTCTTTCTTTCTTTCTTTCTTTCTTTCTCTCTCTCTCTCTCTCTCTCTCTCTCTCTCTTTCTTTGTTTCTTTCTTTCTTTCTTTTTTCTTTTGTTGGGCTTAAGATTTTGTGAGCTTCCTTCCTTCCATATTCACATGTTAACATGTCTATTGGTAGCCAGTGAATTTTCAAGCATGATAGGCTAGTTTTATTTCTTCTTTCACTGACAAGGCTACACTGAGTTGCATAAAAGCTGTATTCCTCCTCTAAGAAGCATCCAAGATTTCCACATTTTGCTGTCATGAGATCTTGACCACTCCTATATTGGAGTATGACAGCAGTCAAACCCGATCCTTAAAATGTCTTGAGAAATTTCACCAAAACTCTTTGTATGTCTAGGGGTAAATAATGGTACATGTTACTAAAAGGTTAAACCCTCATTCCTTTGCCACAAACTGATCTGATCCCCAAGACCACAAAAGAGTCAAGAGTTGATCAGGGAATTAATAATTCCCCCTTTGGGGCAGGGAAATGGCTCTGCAGTTAAGAGCTGGCTGTTCTTCTAGAGGACCCAGGTTCACCTCCCCAGCATCTACATGGCAGCTCACAGCTGACTGTAACTCTACGATCTAACAGCCTCACACAGACATACATGCAGGCAAAACACCCTTGCACATAAAATAAAAATAAATTAAAAAAATAATTCCCCTTTTGCCCATGTGGCCAGTAAAAGCACCTAGGAAGTTTTGCCTATTAGTCAATGTATCTACATTTGGAGATAAGTATGCTAGAGTAAAACTATTGGTACAGTTGGTGGGAAGATAAAGATAGGTCAAAGTGCAATAGAAAAAGAACATCCTCTTCAAATAGGCAAGTGGTGCGTTGAAGACTGAAAGACATGAATTAATTAATAAGAATTTAACTTTTGGTCCTGGATTCATTTTTTATGACTTAAGGGAGCCAGCTAAGGATGCCCCCATCAAAGGTTTTTATTATGTTAAAAGGTTTAGTGTTGGAAGCATTTTAAACAAATAGGCAATGTTTGTTTGTGTCCAGAAAATAGGATGAGAAAATTTTAAAGAGGGGGGAGATTTTATTTTTTTATTTTTATTATTTTTTTTTTACAGATTTACTGGTATCCACAAAAAACAAGTATGTGCATGAATTGGGGTTTTCCAGATATTCTGAAGAATTGGTGGGATTTATGCTATTGAATAACAAAGAGAATAAAGAGCCTTATAAATAAACTGATTGAGGGAACTTCTCATTGGCAGTGTTTAGGACTGGATAAGTGACCCTATAGAATACTTGATCAGACAGAGGTTTGACAGTAATGGTAACATTACAGAGAGAGAAATCCAGTTGATGTAATGTAATTTATTTAAGGAAATGTGACCTTGAAAAGTACAGGAATGCTGTGACTGCTAAAGAAGTATTTGTGATGAGATGCCCTTTGCTAAGGACCCTGTTGGTTAAAAGCCCAGAAAGTTTATAAATAGTTTGGAAATATTTGCTATATATTCACTGTCTGTAAGAGTATCATTAGGCCCCTTTTGCTTTTGAGTCCAAAGTGATGCCTATGAATTAATCCAAGTGGACAAATAGGAGATAGGTGTGTCTGTATATTAGGAAAGACAGACCTAGCCTGCAGCTGTTGGTCTTTGCAGCGTTGGAATCATTGAGCAAGTGATGGGTGGAACAGAGAGTGTGATTTAGATAGATAGAGATATGTACTGGAACTGAAAACATAAGTGAAATAAAAAGAAGTAATAAATCATAAGATACATGCTAGAATTTAAAGGTCACAAGTAAATTGATTTTGGATAGGGTGAAGTCTGTGCAGAGACCTGTAACTAACAATCAGCTATGAAGTCTAATAATTCAAGAGTTTAAATACCTGGAGTTTGTTGCCATAAAGAGAATTCAGTTTACTTGAAGGAAGGCCTCTGCCTGTTCATATAGAGCCATCAATGCCAGATGATAGGGTTCCAAAGGAAATAAACCCATACAGCTATTCTTTTAATAAAAGTTTGAGTATCAAACCTCTGTACCCAGCCACTCCTCCAACCTCCTTTGCAAAGCCTAGCCCAAATAATCTCCCTGATTGTCCTCACCCAGGCTGTCTTTCCAATCCACAAGATCTATTATGGGTCCTTCATCCAGTGTCCTTGCCTAGTCTGATAAACAACTACCCCTGCTGCACCCTACTTCTAGGCTTCCAACAGGACTTGCCCCATGTGTCATACACACAGGCCTTTTCTGTGCTACATCTAACTTCTCTGTTGGGGACCGACTCTGGACAGCAGTGTCTTGAACCTGTGTAACCTTCCACGATTTATCAAGCCTCGTGTAAATAGGAGGCTCTTAGTCTAACCTAGGAATGTAGGATTAAATAAACTTCTTGGAGCCTGTACTAAATCAGCTAGCTGCAGGGGCCTGGGACCAAAGTGACCTCCTGCTGACCCTCCCTTAGGAATTTTCTTTGTCCTCTCCTCACTCCTCCTGCTCCCCCTCCCTACCTGAAGCCCTGTTTATAAGCTCTAACACCCAGTCAATAAATGAGACCTTGACGCAACTCAGACTGACTTTGTCTTTCTTCACGCGCTTGGTCTCCTTTCCCTCTCACCCCCCATTGATTCACAGGTGGTCCCTCCTCGAGACCCTCGAATAACCTGGCCTGCTGGACGGGTCACTTCTCCATCCAGCCATATGTACAACATCCATCCAGGGTCTATCCAGTGAGTATCCTTGATTCTACACATACAGTCACCTTCCCCAATCCATCAGATCTAGTCCAGGTCACATGTAGTTGAAGATTTTCCTCTGTCCTACCTGGCCCTACAGTCAGGACAAATCTCTCCCACCCACCGTCCCACAGCCACTTACAAAATAATCACTCAGAAGCTTATATTAATTATAACTGCTTGGCCATTAGCTCAGGTGCTGTGGGATGGTCTGTATGTCAAATTGCTCTGATTGGTCAATAAATAAAACACTGATTGGTCAGTGGCCAGGCAGGAAGTAGAAGGAGAGAGGAGAATTCTGGGAAGCAGAAGGCTGAGGAGGAAGAAACTGCCAGCTGCCACCATGACAAGCCACATGTGAAGATGCTGGTAAGCCACCAGCCACATGGCAAGGTATAGATTTATGGAAATGGATTAATTTAAGCTATAAGGACAGTTAGCAAGAAGCCTGCCATGGCCATACAGTTTGTAAGCAATATAAGTCTCTGTGTTTACTTGGTTGGGTCTGAGTGGCTGTGGGACTGGCGGGTGACAAAGATTTGTCCTGACTGTGGGCAAGGCAGGAAAACACTAGCTACACTCAGGCTTATTACTGACTGGCTCTTACACTTAAATTAACCCATAATTCTTATCTATGTTTAGCCATGTGGCTTGGTACCTTTTCTCAGTTGTGCCTTGTCATCTTGCTTCCTCTGTGTCTGGCTAGTGACTCCTGACTCAGCCTTCCTCTTCCCAGAATTCTCATTGCCTGCTTATCCCACCTAAACTTCCTGCCTGGCTACTGGCCAATCAACATTTTATTTTATTTATCAACCTATCAGAGCAACACACATTCACAGCATATAGAACAACATTCCACAGCACTTTCCCTTTTCTGTTTAATCAAAAAGGAAGGTTTTAACTTTAACATAGTAAAATTACATATAATGGAACAATTATCAAGCAAGAGTTACAGTTACAATATCTAGTTCATTTGTATTTGGCAATACAATGTCTACTTTATTTGTATTTGGCACACACATTGGGTACCAACTGTAGGTGAATTTCTAAATGGTCTTATTAAATAAAAAACACAGAGCCAGATATAGGATTGAAAGCCTGGGAGAGATCAGGGAAAGACAGAAAGCCACAGCTAACCTTACGTCACCAACTCAGCAGCTTCTACCCATGCCTATGTAAATGTGCTGTTCTGCTATCTGATTTGCTCTCTCTGTCTAGTTACATCACTTGCTCTTCCTGCCAAGCTCTGTCACTTCCTGTTTGTCTGTACAGACCTCCAGACCTCCATGGCTAACTAATGTTGGAATTTAAGGCATGTGTCACCACATCTGGCTTTGTTTCCTGTGTGACCTTGAACTCACAGAGATCCAGACAGATCCCTGTTTGCCAAGTGATAGGATTAAAGGTGTGTGCTAACATTGCATGACTTTTGTGTTTACTTACAATGGCTTGGTTTTTCCTCTGATCTCCAGGCAAGCTTTATTTATTAAAACACAAATAAAATATCACCACAGGGCTGGAGAGATGGCTCAGCCGTTAAAGGCTAGGCTCACAACCAAAAATATAAAATATCACCACATTTCAGCACATAAAAATATCACCACAGTCAAACATACAATAAAAATAAGATGGAAAAAAGAAAGCATTTCTGCAAATGGTTCTGGGAAAACTAGATTCATAAGAATTCATAATTCATAAGAATGAAATTATACCAGGATCTATTACTTTATAAAAAATCTAATGTCAAATGGATAAAAGATTTGAAACTTTAAACACTGAAATTATTAGAACAAAACATGGACAATATTTTATAGGTTAGAGGTATAGGAACTCATTTTCTGAATAGGAAGCCATTTGCCCCAGAATTAAAACCAATAAATGATATGTACCAATACATTAAACTAATAAGCTTCTGTATAGCTAAATAAATAACCAACTGCCTGCAAAGGAATTCCACAAATGCGAAAGATTTTATACTAGCTGGACATCTGACAGAAGATTAATATCCAAAGTATATAAATAACTTTACAAAGATTACAAAAATAACATTTAAAGAATGATTGTGGTATCTTAATCAATAGGGACTTCCCTTCCAACTCTCAGGGGCAACCAAGCTGAAACTCATCTGAATGTTCCCTCCTTGAGTAGATTTCATAGTACCAAAAGTCACCAAGTAAGTTTCCAAAGGAGGGAAGCAACCAAATGTCCTACACAGTTATTATTCCTATGAGCCAGAAAAATGATTAGCATAGTATGATAACCTTATGGGTATAGTAGTGGCACATATATAACTTGGAAGTTACCAACAGCTTTGTAATTGGACACAAGACCTGCTTACCAAGATAGAAGTCATATCTGGTACTAGAAAACTAGCCAACTATCCAAGGCCAGTGAATTCATTCATATTAAATGAAAACCCACAAGCAACAGTTTACTGAGCCATCATAATCCCTAAGTATACTCTAAATATGCATCTTTATACACACAGGTAGTTGTATTCCTCACTTCTCAAGGAAAATTCTCTTTGTAACAGATGGAGACCATTAGAGAAATCCACAAGCAGTCAAGGTACAGAGTTGTGGACCCTTGTCCCAGTGAGTAAATCTACCAAACAAATCTTACATCTAAAGCTCCATCAGGGAATATTGCAGAAGGAGGGGAGAAACACTGTAAGAGCCAAAGCATCTAGAGTTTTCTGTGAGACTGTCTCCTAGTAATGTCCCAAGTTTCATTCATAAAGACTCACCAATGTTGTTGCCTAAATGCAGTCCAAACCACTCAGCTCTGAAGGAGAAAGGGTGTGGTAGTATTGTGTTCCCCAGAATATCGTGCACCCTAATAAACATATCTGGGGTCACAGAACAGAACAGCCACAATATCAAACATAGAGGATAGACAGTGGTAGTACACGCCTTTAATCTTAGCATTCCAGAGGCAGAGATCCATCTGGATCTCTGTGTGTTCAAGGCCACATTAGAAACAGCCAGGCATGGTGACATATGCCTTTAATGCCAAGAAGTGAGCCTTTAATCCCAGGGAGTGATGGCAGAAAGCAGAAAGGTATATAAGGCGTGAAGACCAGAAACTAGAAGCTTTTGGCTGGTTAAGCTTTTAGGCTTTTGAGCTTCAGTTCAGCTGAGATTTATTCTGGATGGGGACTGAGAGGCTTCCAGTCTGAGGAAACAGGATCAGCTGAGGAATTGGCAAGATTTGTGCTACAAAAGGGAACACATACTACCACCAAATATAAAAAAGTTCTGATATTTATAGATAAACTCATATCCTGTGTATGTAACTCAGCCCCATGAGGGGAGGATTAGGAGATGAAGTGAGTATGTAAGTACCATCTTCCTGAGTGAGAATTAGGATTTAGGTTGATATGTTTAAGGCAAGTGTAAGGTGGCTCATAAATGTTGCCCGGTTTTCAGGTGATTTATTGGATTTTTATTATAATTCAGTGCCTCATGGCAAGCCTTTTCATCACTTTGATAAGGTAGATTAATAGATAGAATATATGTTAATGATTAGGGGACTTAAGCAGTCAGTTCTATTTAGGTCAAAAGAGATCTGATATGTGTTTCTGACAGAGTAATGGTGGGAATCTTGAATTTGAAGGGCATCTACAAAAGAGATATATTGTTATTTCCTCTGTCATGGTGGGTAGAGGATATAATGACATAAATATTGTGGAAAGTCAGATTTGGGGAACATATTTTTGGAATTTCATTGTACATTGTTGGAATCCACAGAAAACAAATTGAGACACTTTAAAACGTGAATAAAGTTATAGAAATGAAAAGCAATGTGTGCAGGGAGAATAGCCTTGGCTCTGGCACCTTCTCATATGGGCAGCTATGAAGCAATGTGTGTGGAGGTGTGTGGAAAAACAGATTTTTTGAGTGAGTAACCAGAGGAAAGATGGTAGAAGTGAGTCTTGAAACAGGACTAGAGAAAGAGGGAGGCTTTGCTTTGGGACAGCTGTGAGGATGAGAGACTACTGAAATTGGATGTAATGAGTAGTCTATAATGAAACAGGATGTGGGAACAGAGTTTGAAATATGGAGCAGTGTTGGCAAAGAGTGGCATAATTATGGAGACAGAAGAAAACCCAATGTTAGGGAGTCTAGATTACTTACCATGTACCAAACAAAAGCTTCTGTTTCTAAGAATTTTTAAATCACAAGTATAGTTTTCAGATCATATGTTGCTATTCAATTTGCATTTTCATCAATGGTATTAAAAATTAAAATTATTACTATTATTATTATTGCATCTAATATCACTTATGAAGATTAATAATTTTAAGATTGTAAAGAAAGCAGCAAAGTTGTTATTCTTCAAATTTGTAAGACTGGGTCACATACCTTACAGATTCTAGTGAATCAAGGAAAAGGGAATAAGGCCTTTTGGAAATGTGGGCAAAGCCATAGTGGAGACCAAAGTTGAATTCCTAGCATTTCTGGAATCACCTAATCTGAGGAAACCCAGAATCTCTGATAAAGTACTAGGGCTTGTGGTCAGTGTGGTGGGTACTGGACCTGGGTGGGACTCAGCAATATCAATCAGCCAAAGACAAAGTTTAGGGAAGGACCAAATGCCTGGTAAGGAAAGAGCAGAAGGATTGGTGAGGTCAGGAAATCTGGTAAACGTAGGGTGGAGACTCTGGTATGGGTAGTATTCCTGGTTAAAATAAAGCCTAAGGAGAGTAAGAGCAGAAGCATTGGTAATGGATGTGGGAGGAACCAGCACACTGTAGAGTGATCCATCTTGGCTTGCCTTTCAGACACTCTGGATTCAATACCACATAGTGGTAATTTGCCAGGAGGGAGAGTAGAGGAGACTTGGGAGAATGAAAAGATTGACTACACATTTATGGTACAGTAGAAGTCTTTCTTCAACTTACATTTAGTTGGAAAGTACAACACTTTCATACACATATAAAAAAGAGATAGACATTTGCATATATTGTATTAAATATTGCATATTTTGTATTAAGAGGAATAAAACTTATTGGAGATTGAGTGATCACTCAGAGTTTAGGTGGACTTGCTGCTCTTGCAAAGGGCTGTAGTTTGGTTTGCCATCATTTATTGTCAGTCAGCTTGAACTTTTCTGTAATTCCAGCACCCAGTGATCTAACATTTTCTCCTTCTTCACTGACCACCCCCTCCCTGGCCCCAGTGCCCTGCCCAAAATTTCCCAGGTACTACTCCTTGCTCTCTTTCAATTCTTTTTTTCATTATTTCTGTTATGAGCATATATGCATACATACACACATTCTAACACAACGTGCTCCATATGTATAAAGTTTCTTTAATCTGTTTCCAATGTAGTCCTTACCGTTCATCAAGAAAATTACTCTTTGCTACAGGAGACCATTACAGACAAAACAACCAATCAAGTTACATAATTCTAGTGCCCAGTTCCAGTGACTCTATGTGCCCAACAGCACTTGCACATTGTAATGTCAGAAGCTATATTCATAAGGTCTAGCCAACTTGACTGCCTAAATATGAACTGAATAAAGACAACAACAATGTTTTATTTAGTCATTGTGATATAACACTAAAAATATTTAAACTTATGAGAGAATTTAAAATATGATTTATAAAGAAATGAAACAATCTAAAATTATGTTAATTATTTAAATATGCATATAAAAATAAATCTAAGCATACATATTTATTTATTTGTACATTATGCATTTCATGTAGTATCACTATGTAAAATATATAAATATATGTGATTATGAACATTAAAAAAGAAATTGGATAATATAGTCTTTCTGTTTTGAAAAGCAGAACAGAGAGGCATTAACTAATACCTTTAATTTCATGTTTATTGAGGATTGAAATATTTAAATGAATGAAAAGAAACATTTTCAACATAACTTTTCATATTTACTTACAGAATAGAACTTTTACTTTTTCATATAAGGTTTATAGAAAATATAGTTTTATCCATAAATTTGTCTTTTACCAAATACCTTTTTCATTGCCTCTTTTACATCTTTGTTCCTCAAACTGTAAATGAGAGGATTCAGCATGGGAATTACAATGCTGTAAAATATCGACACTACCATGTCATGCTCCAAGGCATAGCTGGAACTTGGTCTCACATACATGAAAAGAACAGTACCATGAAAAATGGACACTCCAGTTAGATGAGAGCCACATGTAGAGAAGACTTTTCTTTTACCTTCAGCAGAACGAGTCCTCAGAATAGCAAACAGAATGAAGCCATAGGAGATCAGGACGATGAGGATGGTGACTATCTCAATAGACCCAGCACAGTAGAAGAGGAGAAGCTGGTTGATGTGGGTGTCAGAACAAGAAATTGCCAGGAGAGGAGGGATGTCACAGAAAATATGACTGATTTCATTGGATCCACAAAAGGACAGTCTGAAAGTAGCGACAGTGTGAATAACAGCATGTAAAATTCCACCAGCGTAGGATGCAATGATGAGTGGCACATAGACTCTGGATGACATGATTACTACATATAGAAGTGGGTTGTGAATGGCCACATAGCGGTCATAAGCCATTGCTGCCAAAAGAAAGCATTCTGTTGTACCAAAAGTAACAGCCAGAAACATCTGTGTAGCACAGCCAGTGAATGAAATGACTTTCTTCTCTGACATGAAGTCAACTACCATTTGTGGAGTGATAACAGAGGAATAGCAGGCATCTACAGAGGACAACACACTCAGAAAATAGTACATGGGGTTGTGTAGGCGGGAATCCCCAATGACTAGAGCAATCAATCCTAAATTCCCCACAAGTGTGAAGAGGTAAATCGCTAGAAAGAGGAAGAAGGAAAGGATCTCCAGGTCAGCACTGTCTGTGAAGCCCTTCAGTACAAACTCAGTGACTTCAGTGATGTTTTCCATGTTGAAATCTCATAGAAAGAATTGAAAGCAATCAACAAATCATAGTTCATATTACCGTAAAGAGTCTAGAGTAGTTTTGCTATAAACAAGGTGAGCTGTGTCTTTATGTGTATTTATGCAGAAGCACACTTTCAGGCTGAAAGAGGCATAGATACATACACATAGGTACACATATCACATGATTTTATGAGCTACAGCACAAGATAAGGACATGGTGATGATTTAAATTTCAATACAGCACTCATTGAAATATACATGGAATGTATGTATATTTATCAAGTGTCTTACTTTTAATTTAATTTTTTAACTTTAAAAAGAATCTTCTAAGCCGGACGGTGGTGGCACACGCCTTTAATCCCAGCACTCAGGAGGCAGAGCCAGGTGGATCTCTGTGAGTTCGAGGCCAGCCTGGGCTACCAAGTGAGCTCCAGGAAAGGCGCAAAGCTACGCAGAGAAACCCTGTCT